GCACAAGCATTTATTTAACCACATATCTATATCTATTATTTTATCTGTATATATTTTAATGTATTATACGGAAGTATGTGTGGTTGATCGCATATTTACTGAAATTCATTGTTTGGTAATTATTTATTTCAGATCTAACTCTCTTGCATTTGTCCCTCTACTTTTCTATTTATACAATGGACAATGCGAACAAAGTATTTTGTACATATATTATATTCTTGATTGTCATTCTGGTACCCTACACATTCTGGTATTCTACAGGAACACAGGGGCTCATCTTCGTGGTAGACAGTTCCGATAGAGATCGCATCGATGAGGCGCGCTCAGAGTTACATAAAATTGTCTCCGACAGGGAGATGAAAGATGCCATGGTGCTGGTTTTTGCGAATAAGCAAGATGTCCCAGGGGGTATGTATTGTCTTTTGCTGATCTCTGATTGTAAACAGTGAGGGTGTTTCTTTCATGCAGATGATATTAACAACAGCGATTGCCTGTCGCCAATAAGTTGTTCACGAAGGACTTGGTGTTATTTTGTATCAACCTGACTATCTCACACTTTCTTATTTCGTATGCCAAACTCAGCAATGAAACCTCAAGAAATAAGCGAAAGGCTAGGATTACCGGTGATAAGAGATAGGAAGGTGAGTATTTTGTTCATAGCCAACGATTTTTCGTCTGTTTTTCTTGTCAACTGCCACCTGTCGCTTCTTGTCTGGGATATTGATTAATTTACTGCCTATTACTTGCTCACAGTGGTTTGTTCAGCCATCATGTGCTACTACGGGGGAAGGCCTTATTGAAGGTCTTACTTGGATGACGGACAACAAGGACTGATCATGCTGGAACACCCATGTACAACTGTGTGTATAAGTAAAAGAATTCCACACAGTCGCATGTGTATGAATAAAAAGAATGTAACAAAGTCATATAATACTCTCTTGGCATTGTTAATGATATATATCGATCTTATTGTCTGTCCCACTGACTCCCACAGTGATTCATTCAACCATGATGCGCAAAAGCCAGAGATGACCTTCTCGCCGGTCTCAACTGGATGACGGATAACACGGGCTAATGCGCCCTCTGGCTTAAAAAAACCAAGACTCAATAAATAGTCCGTCTTTTTAGTAATATGTAGTAGGCTATTCTATGCATTGAAAAGCCGCCAATGAATTGATGACATCATTGATGATAACGTCATTGGTGATAACGTCATTATTTCGATAAGCTTTTTTTTGGCGTTCATCATTGTGCGAATTATAATATTTATTTATTCTTTCAGTGTGCGAGAGGGACCCTCGAATTCACCCGTGGCGCAGAGTGCTTAGCAGGATTAAGGCCACACTAGAACAGTCAATAACATGGTTATAATTGAATATCTCGTCAAACTGCTCTGAATCTATTCACAGTTAGCATTCTCACTGTGTTTGTGTTTTTAAGGTAGAAAACGATGGATCCCTACACACAGGATGACACTGCTAGAAGCATTGATTCTCTGCTGGACATTCTCAAGCTTCCGTTTGGTAGTCTTGAGCTTCAGGATACAGACAGCATCGGCCCGGGCCCAAATAGTTTGGTTTCGCAAGCCGAACTGGCACACTACACCGGCAATGATCATCCGCCATTAGATCCGCATACCGACTTTCTACCCATCACTAAATATACGTTGCCTGAACACCAACAGCCAAGCAATATGCTACTCCACACACCCTCAATATCTGATAATGCAGGATACACATTTCCAATCAAATCATCTACTCTTTACAATGTAGCGTTCAGTTCTGTCTCAGATTTAAGAGATGGACAGTCAAAGCCAGTACAATATGGTACGGCCATTGACTGGACCAATACCAACCAGTTGCTTGATGACGTTGCCGACCTTGGACATCTCTCTTCTTTCACAAGCAGCCATTTGAATGATACTGCAAGTCTTTCAAATAGTCTGTGTGATTTATCTAAGATTGGGCTATCCGCGAGTGACCTATCTAAGGGTAGTATCTCTGCACCTCTATATGACTTCGAAAACGTTAGCTACCTAGCCGATTTTGATTACAGCAGCTTTGAACAAGGACCTTTTACCAGTACAAATCAAACCATTTTCAGTAGATCCTATGACAGCTTTAGTACTGTTCCCACAAGCACACATGAAACTCGATCAAAATCTATCAAAGCGAACCGCCCGACGCCGAGACTATTAACATCAAACTTACTGGATGAATTCTCGGCACGGAGTAGGAATAGGGCTAACAGTCTCGGACCAAAAAGAGGGGTAAGTATCTGGCAAAACTTCGGGTTAACAGTATATTCTCAATTTCTCGCTTATGCTCCTTGTATTTGCCGTTTCAACTTTATACACTGAAATAACTATTACTACAACGAACCTATGACTTCGCTGTAGATAAAAAGTACCGCTGCTGGGCCAACACACGCGACCAAAAGGAAGGACTACACCGACGTGCATGAGAACTCTGTAAGTGCCCGTTTCATGATCGCAAAAAAAACTAAGCAGCGCAGAGACCACCTTCAGAGTTTTAAAGTATTGCACTATTAACACTGTCACCACCAATTATCCCGGACCCATCTTCACAAACTTTAGGACTTGCAAACCGCTGCGAGCGTTATACTACAGAACGGAGCGCTGTGGGGCGAGCTATATACTCAGACGAACGAGATGATCACTTCATCACGTGGACGGCAGATGTTTCCAGTAATTAAGGTATGGTCAATCACATTGTTTTCATGCATGTGGGTGTCAAGCCTTTCTCGCTGAACCGAAAGATCTTTCAAGACTTCTTGACAAACTCATACAAATCTACCCGCAGTTGGAAGTGGAGGGATTGAAATCAAACGCTTTGTACACGTGTCGGCTGTACTTTTTCTGCGAAGATAGCACAAATACTACCTGGCGCTGGTGTAGGGTTAATCACTGTTGGACAAGACGGTCCAAAGGACGTAAGTACAATCGGGATTAAGTGCTCGAGCGTACCCCAGAACCTACCTTTTTCTTTTGTATGATACGCAATTGTTTGTCTTCGTATATACATGAGCGAACCATGTTCAAAGAATATCTCAATCCTTGTAAAACCCATAGGTGAGAGTTTTCTCGAGTCAAACATTCGGCAACCGGGTTGTGGTGAGGATGCTGCATATACACACCCTGAAGGGGCCAAAACGGGGAAGTCCTGGTGTAGCAAGGTACTCGTCGTACTATTCAATACCTCGTTTATGGTTATAGTTTATGTGCATCGACACTGACATACACAGTTCTCGTCCGACTTTGAGTCTCAAGGGCCCGGATTGCACAGTAGATAATATATAAACTATTTTGACATTCGCAGCTTATCTCATTCGACAAGTTGAGGATATGCAATCGACCGTGCAGTGGAGACAGCAAGCTACAGCTGAGCTCATTTCACAAGTACACACCGATAGTCTATTTTGAGATGGTGGACGAGTCGAGCGATAAAACTGGCATAAATGCGAACACGGTTCCAAACAGTAGAGTGGTAAGATTTGTGAGAGTGTTGTCAATATGTTATATAATATGTGCAAGTATGTATGCTGTGAATTCATCCTTTGTTTTTGACCAGTGTGTGTTGTACACAAATGCCTCACGGTTGGCATATGATTACCGTATAGATATGTCGACGGAGTGTTGTAAAATATACCGAAAGCCGAATTTACTCTCAGCCTGATCAATCTCCATTTCCTTCCGTGCAGGAATTACGATTTCCCCTTCCGATGTGTAGTTTCGTGACCGCAACAACATATCACAACAAAGAGGTCGCAAAGTTAAAAATCTTAGCGAATCCTATGGCTAAGTCGCAGGTATCTCGATGTCTCATTGTAGCAAATCCTTACTAAATTCACATGCAATTTTGTACTATGCTTGATTCAGAAGTTTACATATTAGTCGAGACAAAACACATTCGAGAAGTGAGATGATTCTACAATTTAAAGCTGCTCTCATCTCTCAATTTAACTTTACAGGTAAAGAAATATGAAAGTGACAATTTCGATTAACTGATCTGCGTCAGTGGTCCATTGAATTGTGTTGTTTAACGATACTTGTCCCTGTAGAGTACGGGAGATCAGGTAAACTGTGGGATACTCAAGGCACCCACAACGAACGGCGTGGATTAAAACACGTTAACACGATGCCGACCAGAAATAGAGGAGCACGACTTGAGAAGCGATTCTAATATCGTCTGCTGCCTCCGCCTTGGCGTAAATAAGTACAATTGCACAGGAATGTAACTGCGCATATACAAGTCAAATGAAGCATAAATCTTATGCAGTACACAGGATCGAGTAAGAACTAAGCAGAACAGCTTCGTCAAAGTTTGTACCCACCACTTGAGAGAAGGAACCGCCACTATAAGTAGCAAGCGTCGCGGTGTAAGGGATACAATAAAGTCAAATTTCATTTACGACAGATGGAAAATGATCGATTTGGACAACTGCGAACCTTGTTATGCAGCAACGCTCGAGAATGCGTACTCGAAAAGGCACCGCATAATACTGATTTTCAAAACACTGTGAAATTATTAGATATTTATGTGTTTCGCGTGAATATACCCAGTGTTCGTATGTTAGTTTCGCTTATCTCTCCGTGATCATAGGAGTAGTGTAATTTAAAATGTTTTTTTAATTCTTATAATGTATTTAGATTGTAGGGTCCCTCTATTATATATATCCCAAAAAAAACACAGTGGTAAGTGGTATACCAGATTGCATGTACGGGCGCACTGATACACGCACATGTCGCTGGCACCACATGGACAACAATCGGATATGTTGAGAGGTAGTAACCCTTTCTCCACTGAGGAGGCCTCAGATGGCGAGGGTGACACGCACACAACATCTGAACACGATCAGCAATCACAATATACACAACAGCTTAATCGCAATCCGTATAATAATTCTGCCGAGAGTAATGGAGCTGGGGTTGGGGCTGAAGTGGGGTCGGAGAAGGTGGTCAATCCATTCAATGATAATTTTGTAGATGTAGAGATGACTGTGGTTCAAGACATAGGACTGCAAGAAGCGAACTCGAGTTATGGGCTGCGTCCAAGCCATTCAACACATGCTATCGATGTAAACGGTGTGTGTACTGTATTTAGCTTGTCCTGTTATTGGTGTACGACTTGGTTATCAGTGCATAAACGAGTTGTGTAAGCAAATTTTCTTCTTCTTTGTAATGCAGTAGAGCATATGTGTGGTTTCGCTACATGTGTCAGTAAGAGGCAAGCTTTGGTTGTTGAAGGATGTCGAGGCCGCGGTATCGCTTTTATATTCGCGATGCGTCTTTGACGGCAGTCCATAGGTTTTAGTCAAAATATATTGTAATTGACAAGCCTGCTTATAGTTCTGTAACGCTTCACGATCGGATGTATGTGTATACACAAGGTTCACATCAGAATAAGTGTACGGCAACACAGTTTTGACTAGTTCAAAGCATATATATATTTGTCAATTCTCATATTGCATTGAATCCGCAACATAATTATTATATATATATATATATATATATATATATATATATATATATATATATATATATATATATATATATATATATATATATATATATATATATATATAT